ACTATAGTCTATTACTTTTTTAAAGTTCGGTGGTTAAAAAAGGAAAGAAAAGAGAGGGTGATGATTACTGTCTCCTTTTCTCTCCCTGAAATGCTTCATGCCTAGTTGACACTGGGTAAATGCTTGCATGATTGAGCACCAAAGATAGAGACCAATATAGCAAACCTCCAGGTAATTTTCTTCTAAGTGCTAGTTTTCCTCTGGTTCCTCTCACATCCAAAGAAAAGGAAGAGCCAGGAAGTACCTTTCTCTCTTTTTGATATGATACGCTTCAGACGGTGACTTTATCTTCCTTTGAAATACTCATTACATAATTGTTATTGGGAAAACTCTGCTTGAATTGGTTTTTGTAAGCTGCTTATTAAAAAGCTATTTAAAAGAGCTGAGACTGTTTAAGTTGAATTTACTAATGTTGTAAACTTATTTCTTAATTCAGCCCTTAGCAGGGAGAGCACCTATCAGCAATCCAGGAATGGGTGAAGCAGGGAACTTTGGTGGGAATAGCTTCATGTCAGCAAATGGCCTCACTGTGGCCCAAAACCAGGTAAACACCCGAGTGGCTCCAGAAATGCAAAACATAGGCTGTCCTGTTTTATTACTTCCTTATGATGCTAAGGCTAAGTACTTGACTTATTTCTTTCTTATAAAGGGTCTCAGGTTTACGCTGGGGAGCTGATTCAGAGTAGTTGGTAAAATCTTTCTGATTTGAATCTTCAGGTGCTGAATTTGATTAAGGCTTGCCCAAGACCTGAAGGGTTGAACTTTCAGGATCTCAAGAACCAGCTCCAACACATGAGTGTAGCCTCAATCAAGTAAGTATTTGGTTTGTGTGAGCTTGGCCTCCAAAATTGTACCCATTTCCCCTTCCCAGGTTTCCTGGTGATGAGAAGTCAGTTTACAACAAAAACAAAACTGTTGACTGACAGAAGGAAGTTATTCAGTCATGGAAAAATTGAAAGAGGATTCACAAAGGTGGTGCTACCCTTCACTTACTCATTTGTACATTCAGCAAATACAAAGTCCCATTATGTGCAGAGGATATAATTTTGAGCAAAAATTGACCTGATACTTCTTGTGGAATTTAGTCTGGAGGAATGAGATCCTTAGCTCTTGGTCCTAGATATACAGTCCCATTGGTATTACTGTCCCCACTTGGAGATGGTGTGCATCACGGCGTCTAGATCTGAAGCCATTAGAGAGTCTTTGCAATATCCTTGCCCTGATAACCTGTTAGACAAGCAGCTTCCTGATTCCAGTGAACTAATCCAGACACATAATATTGTTGTGTTTGTGTCAGTTATTGCTAAAAATCAATTCATATTCTAGGTCTAGATAGAAATGAATGCTCAGGTCTGATTCCATTTCCTGTCTGATAAGGTGAGGATAGTAATTCCTATTGCAGAGTTACTGTGATGCCAAGGTGCAGAATGGCTGTGACATTAGTAGGTTCTCTATAAACTGTTACAAGTTACTGACGCTGACCTTGAGGGCCTTACAGGATTTGAAGGTGGCATATTGCTTCTGGAAAGATGTTTCCTTTTCTTTCTGCAACTTTACTTCCCAGAGTAGGAGTTAGAGGATCAGTGAATGAGTGGGGAGGGAAAACTTTAAAATTGCTGTTTATACTGGGAGATTTTATGTGCATGCTGAACTACAGCTTTAGACCCTGGTTTCAGTTTGCTTAGACTGGAATTTAAGTGAGGTCCTATTTTCCTGCCTTTACACAGTTAGGAGAGGGATCCATGGCAGCCCCAGTAGCCATTGTTTCTGTGGATTCCCTCAGCTTTACAATTTTACTGGCCATTTCTCCCTGCACTAGCCTTCCATGAGCAAAATGGCTTGTGAATTCCTCTTAGCCAAGATAGAAAGTAGAAAGACAAGTGAAGTTTACATATTCAGCCATGTCCAAAAGGCAGTTTCTTTTCTTCTGCATTGGTTTGAAAATGAGCATTTTTTTTTTCTTTCTAGGCAAGCTGTAGATTTTCTAAGCAACGAGGGACACATCTATTCCACTGTCGATGATGATCATTTTAAATCCACAGATGCAGAATAACTAGATTTAATGGTACCCGAGATGTTTTCTAGCTGGGCCTGTTTTTGCAGTCTGTTATCTCCAGCTGTGCATATGATTGGCCAGTTGACTTCTAGGAAGTAGGTTTTGTCTATAAAATGTCTCAATTGACATCATTTTTAAACTTCCTGCTCTTCTGTTTTTTGAAGCTCAGATGGATATGGGCAACTGACAGGAATGTAAACCATGGCAGAATTTCTTAAAGAAATTAAAAATTAGTTACAACATCAGAACAGATGGACTTGGAAGAGGAATGCTGCCAGGAGAGTTGGGCAGTCTGACTTAAATAATTCTCGGGAGTTTCTATTCCTAAATTGTTTCCTGTTGAGAGAAGTTGAACTGAACTAGGGCCCACCAGCAGAGAGCTAGCCAAGAAGTCCACCAACCTCTGCCTGTTTTGTTCTCCACTCTGATTTTGTGGTATTACTTTCAGAATTGCACTTTCTTTCACTTTGTCATGATTGCTGCCAAAAGTGTGTTTTTGTAAACATGGGGTTCTAGAGTGGCAGCCTCGTGGGGCAGAGGAGAGGAAGAAGTGTCACTGTGTTTTGTACAAAATAAGTACATTCATATGTTTAATAAAATAGTTGTATTATTGCAGTGACTTGTAAAAATGTTCTTTTTTTGCTGCTATAATTACTACTTTATCATCTCAACTAATTCTGAGATGAGTTAATGAGGTGTAACTTGCAAATTAAAGTTCCGTAACTGCTTTAACTGTGTTTCTAAATGAGTTCTACCAGCAGCTGTGTGAAGACTCCATCTCTGGTTTCTGACAGTGAACAGCAACCTGGTGGTTATTTTCTTTATGTACAGAATAGTTCCCATCTGAGGAGCTGGGCAGATGCTTAAAAGTCAGTTAAGCAAGGATGTTTATTTGCAGGTATGGCCATTCTTGATTGTTTTCTAAAAGAAAAGACAGTGGCTAAAAAGTAGGTTTAAAAAAGCATATACATTTGAATATAGAATGCATGATAGGCTACTTTTATGGGTAGTGGACTTCTCTTTCTAGTTATCAGGCTAGTAGCCTCAAATGGGCAAAGGGGTGATGGCATTGGTTGTGGGTAAAAGTCTTTCTTCTTTTGATTTTTGAATTTGATGATTTAGCAATCAAAAACTTACTCATAAATTCAACAAGTGTTTATTGAGTACCTACTGTGTCAGTCCCACTGGTCAGCTACTAGGAATATAAAGCAAAATAAGAGATTGTTGTCACAGGACTTGCTGGTTCAGCATTCTCAAAAGCACACCATAGCTATTCAGTGATAATGAGTTCCCTGCCACCTTGACATTTACACGGTCTCACGGGAGTTGTGTGGTTTCTGAACATCACGGAGGCCTGTGGAGCTGAGCACAGGCAGGCTGCCCCTCAGCAGAATGAGATCCCAACCTTTGTAGCACTTCTACCTGCTCAGGCCGGGGGAGCTTGCATTTTGGATGTTTGTGGTCACCTGGGATGTCGGGGATCCAGTGTTCTCTTGGCACATTGTTGAGACAGCAGGAACAGCAGTATGACCCAAGTTCTGAGAAAACCCGAGTCACAGCCAAGCCATGAGTCCAGCCTAGTCTTAGGAGAATCTCCAGGTGTACAGGTGGGGAATGAGGCTTGGGAAAATGGTGGTACTTTATTGGATTAACTAGAGAGAAGCCAGTAAGAATCTATTAATTCACATCGGACACTAATTCTTACTGGCTTCTCTCTAGTTAATCCAATAAAGTACCACCAGTAAGAATTAGTATTTGATGTGAATTAATAGATTTGTTTTTTAAAATGCAATTGAGGGGAATTCAAAACTTGATACATTTTTGAGCACACATCCCCAGGTTATATTCATTTATTTAGCACTTATTTACATGTTACTATATTAGTATGATATATATATTACAAAATACTCAAAGTTAGAAATGAAAAAGGATATTAAAATAAATATGAAAGGACCTAATACAGTTGACCTTTGAACATCATGGTTTGAACTGTGCAGGTCCACTTACACACGGGTTTTTTTCAATAAACACATACTACATGATTCGAACTTGGCTTGAATCTGCAGATGCAGAGGGCCAACCATAAAGTTAAATGTGAATTTTCTTACTGTGTTGGGGGTTAGCACCCTAACCCCTGTGTTCAAGGGTCAACTGTAGTTCCTTTCTGTTTCCAAGTCGGTCATTTTGTGTCCTCCCAGGAGTGTGTTCACTGCTCAGGGGGAATCTCTAGCCCCAGTATGGCACCCTCCCCGCCAGCCAGTGGTTTATTCCAGGGGTAAAAAAAACCAGAAGCTCCCTGAGGGTGGTGTCTGCCTTTGGTCCATTCCCTGCCTACCCCCATTGCTCTGGCAAGACATTCACAATAGTGGTTTTCACATAGGTTTTCCTTTTAAAGCCCATCTTTCCCGGCTATGAAATTGCCTCCTTTTTCCTCATGGCAGCATCTGGCCACTCAGAAATCCCCTTTTGTGGGAACTGGTGGCCCTCTCCTCTGCCCACCTTTTATGATCTTGCTCAATTTGGTCCCAAGATTAAATGCAATCATGGAAGTGAAAACTATGGGCATTTTGCATGTGGTCTTGTCCCCTAGGGGTTCTGTGCCAAGAAAGAACTCTGTCTCACTTGGTTGCTTATTGCTTGTCCCAGAATACTCTCCTCCTCAGGGTCCTCCTGTGCAGCAGAGATCATGTCTGTGGAGGACGGCAGGGGAACTGGTGTGAAGATGAGGGTGGGTGCTGGATATTGGGGACTGGCCCTTCAGCTTGTAGTAACTGCTCAGTGACCTAGAGAACTCCATGCTGGGGTGTGGAGGTCAGGAGGCCCAGGCAGTCCATGGTCCAGAAAGCCAGAGGGATGTTAGCAGGCAAAGGAAGGACACACTCGGTGTAGTATCTAGAATCCTCTTTCAGCTCCTGCCACAGCTAGAGACAGTGCCACCTTGTTACTCTGTCCTGTCCTCTGCCAACTGTGGTGCTTTGTTCCGTGACTGCATCAGCCAGGAAGCCAGAGTCCCACCCCCAGAGGAGATGAGGCCCGTGGTCTTACCTCACTGCTCAGGCCTGCACTGGGCTTGGAACCTGAGTCAGCCTCTGCACAGACAGTGTTTCTTCTCTTACCTCACTATACTGCACAGCGAGGCTCTCCAGCTGGTTGGTACACACTCTCCTCAGCCCAGGACCATACTGTATTTTAAACACTAGGATGAATTCCGGGACTAGGAGACAGTGTGAGTGTGTGGAGAGGGTGCTGGTTGTAGAGACATATACAGCTCTCTGACCTTGGTCAACAATAATGATACTAACATGTCTACTGAATGTTTGTTACGCGCCAGGCACTGTGCTGAATGCTCTACAAATACTATCTCAGTTGGTCCTTAAAATAATTTTTTGAGGTAGGTAACTGAGTTTCATTTTACATGTGAACAAACTGAAGCTTAGAGAGGCTGAAACAACTTGTAAGGCACAGCTGATAGGTGGTGAGCAAGGATCCAGCCCAGGCCCGTGACTAGCCTGCTGTTGAAGCTCTAGACTGAGAAGCTTGTTTCCTGATCTTTAAAATCAGGCCATTGTCTACCTCAGAGAGCTGAGGATTTAGATAGGGTTTGTTAAGGGTCTGGCACACAGACAAAACTTAATAAGTGATCATCCCATCATTTTTCCAGAAGCTCAGATGTCATTTTTATTCTGTGGTTTTAAAGTGAAGTAATCCTGGATGGTCATCTACAGCTGTCCTGTGCTGGGTGCTGCAGAGATGAGGACAGTCCTGGTCCCTCGGGCAGAGGGAGGGGGAGAGGGAGGAAAGAGTGGAGCAGGGGTGGCAAACAAAGGCTACCAGTACTGTGTGTGATCTGGATTGAGTCCCCTTTACCAAGAGGCAGGAGGCATCGTGCTGCCATCACCCAGGTGGGCAGTGTCCTTCCTGCACTAACCGGAGCTGGGGATGAAGGACTGAGTAGAACCCAGTTGGCTATTTGATAGCAAAGCTCCAAGGCTAAGTCAGCCAAACGCAAAATGTTGGGCCCAGAGAAGCCAGCCCTCAGCGGCAGGAACCTAGAACCTGAGGGAAGCAGGGGCTGTGTCCGTCCCATTTCAGATCAGTCCCCACACGACCATTCCTCATCCACAGTCTGATTTCTGAGAGACCTGTCCATGGTCTTCTGAAGGTCTGTAATGGTTGGCTGGTATCTTGGATTCCCTGAGAAGCAGCAGTTACGAAGGAAGGTTCCTCCAGCACCTACAGGGTTTTTGGAAACTTCTCAACTATTTCTTCGTAATCATGTTCATTATCTGCAAAAGAGTCTAAGTTAGTGAGGACCTTTGGCTTTAGGCAGGTTCCTTCCCCTCTAAGGGCACACGTTCCCACCCTGGACAGGGAAGGGGCTGGTCTGGACGCTCTGAGATCCTTGCTAGCACAGGAACACAATTTGTGTCTGAGCACTTTGCACACATGTTCCCTTGTGCCTTGGGGAGTGTAGTGTGTTGGAGGATGAACTCATTTTCCTTGCCAAGGCCCTGGAGTCCCTGGGAGTGATAGTAGGAACCCTTCAGTCTAAGCCCACCCGCTATAGGCCTGTCCATCCAACTGGGAGTGTAGAAGGGTCTGCCCATGGGCAGGGCCCTGCCGAGGTTATGGCCAGCACCATCAGAGGCCAAAGCAGCAGCAGAGGAGTGGTGTGGGGGAGGGGAGAAGCAAGGACCAGGCTGAGCAGGGGCTGATGGACTCACCCAAATCCTGCGTGATGGGCTTAGTGGGCGTGAGGCCCTTCTTGCGGCCAGGAGTCTGACTATACAGATTTGAGATGTCCTCGGTGGTCTTTGGCCAGGTCTGCACCTTGGGTTTGGGCAGCAGAAATGGTTCCTGCAGTTTTAAGATTTGAGACGACTAAGAGGGAGAAAAAGCAGAAGTCAGCAGGGTCCCAAGAAATGGGGTAGCAGAGTCCATGAAATGCAATTTCCTTCAAATGTCATTTCCTCTGCTCCCCTCTCAACTTCCTTTTCAGAGTAGGGCTTCTCGGGACTCCTGGTGTTTTTGCTACAAGCACATGAAATGTTCTTTGGTGGGAAGAAGGGGGCCAGGGTGAGGGATGATAGGTTGAGGGCTAGAGATAGGGTGTCCCTGAGTTTCTCCACAGGGATTTGGTCATTGTCCTCCAAATCTTTGCTGAAGGAGAAAAAAAGCAGTTGTTACAATGCCTGAGAACAGAGTGCAGACAGAGCTGAGGGGGGTCCCAGAAGGAAGAGGACTTCACTGCATCCCTACCATGTGCCAGATGCCGTATGCTTGCCTGCTCATTTCATTCTCAGGTAACCCTCTGACTAGCAGTTTCACTTGCACATGAGGAAGCAGGCTGTGAGAAAGCCGTGGGGATCCTCAAGAAGGGGATTCCCTAGCTGGGCCAAGGTTCGGACCCATGTCTGTGACCTCTAAAGCCGCTTCTCTTCCCACGACAGCGTGCTTTTGAAAGCAAACAGCTCTGCTCCCTGAGGAGCAGCGGAGAACACCGCTGCCCAGAGAGGAAACGCTACTGGTTCCAGGCCTGCAACAGGGATCAGGCCCAAAGGAACTGCCAGGAACCAAGGCTGGGACTGAGGTCTCAGTTCTTTGTACCACATTCTTTCCAGCACTGTCACAGGGCTTGTGTTTCAGGTGTCCATTCCCAGTCCATTCTTGGTTCTGTCTACCCTATCCCCTGCCCCACAGATAGGAGCCCCTTCTGGAGCTGAGACCACTCAAGGTTTGTTCTTTCTTCTAAGAATTAAAAAAATTTTTTTTGGTAGGAGAGATCATTAGATTTATTTATTATTACTTTGTTGTTGTTGTTTTTTAATGGAGGTACTGAGGATTGAACCCAGAACCTCATGCATGCTAAGTATTCTTAGCATTCTACCGCTGAGCGAGACCCTCCCCTGCTTCATCTTTTTAACTTCTGCTGCCATTCCACTACCTCCCCCAGTACAAGATAGGAGTCTCCCCAAATCCCCAAACTCTATGCTTGTTTCAGTTCACAAAGTGCTTTTTATATAGATCATCCCCTCCTGTTCTCAGCAGGGTTTGGTAGTTAGGTGCTCAGATCATGTGGTCAGACCCATTTTCAGCCTTGCTAGCTGTGTGATCTCAGGTAAACTACTTTATCTCTCTGTGCCTCTTGTTTTCTCAACTGTAAAAAGAGCTATCATGCCCACCTCAGAGGGATGTCATGAGAGCTGGGTCGGGCAGTGCGTATGAGGTGCCTGCCCCAGAGTCAGTGCCCAACGAGTGGAGGCTAACACACTAGCACTGTGAGTTAGTGGTGTTACCCGAGGTTTGCTGGTGAGGAAACATGCTCAGGGGAGTACAGGCCAGAGTGAGTGAACTGGGATGTGAACTTAGTGTTTCTGACTCTGAACCTTCTCCCTCATGATTCCATTTGGTTCAGTTAACTCACCAGCACTTTCTCTGCCTACCTTGGAGTGTGTGAGGTCCCTGCCCCCGCAGAACCCCGTTCTAGCCACAGAGACCAAGCACAACTGATTAAAACTTACATGTCCCCCCACCTCCAAGCTACGTACAATGTGCGGTGTGAATACAGAAGAGGGGGACCGTCACTGCCCAGGAGGAGATCTGAGCTGGGCCTTGCCCATGAGCCTGAAAGGAGGAAGAACCTTCCAGGCAAAAGGATGGGGGTGTCTGAAGTGCTGAGGTAGGAATCTCGGCATACTGGGGGAGCCTCAGGAGTGTCTCTGGCTAGAGTGTGAGCTGTGGAGTGGTAGTGGAAGATGGGCCTGGGACGGCAAGGCTGAATCAGCTCATAAGGCCCCTGGATGCCATGTTAAGGGTTCGCATTACCCCCCAGCAATGGGGAGCCAATGAAGGTTTCAGAAAATGGGGCTGGGGCCCCCTGCTGACCAGAGAGGGATTTGGGAGGCCATTCTGACAGCTGTAGGGCGGGATTGAAGAGGCTGCTGAACTAGTTTTATGTGAAAAATGCAGAAGCTTGAACCAGGGAGTGACAGTCGGGTGACAGAGAGAGGTAAGCACCGTGAACTTGGAGGCAGGATGCTTATGCTCCAGTTCAGGCCCCTCATTTACTGTGTAACTCTGGGCGAGTCTCAGAGTCTCTGAGACCTCATTTTCTCAGCTGTAAAATAGGGAAAATCATACCAATGTCAGGATGGTCAGGATCGAATAAGAATAAAAGTTACGAAGTGTGCACACTTATAAACTGCAGGTTCTGTACAACTAAGAGCAACGTGATGCTGGACAAAAACGGCAGGACCTGAATGATCCCAGCAGGTGGTCCCTCCCTGCCCACTTGGGTTCTGTTGGTACCTTGACGCCTTTCTCCTTGCTGCCCTGCTTCTTCTGCCCACTGAGGCCCTTACTTTTCGGAGGCCTGGGCGGGGGAGCTTGACTCTCGAAGGTTGGTAACTTCCGAAGGCGATAGTAGAAGGCCTCCGTCAGCTCCTCCACTGTGGCTACGGGGAGGGACCCAGGCGGCTGGCTTGGCGGCTCCTCTTCCTCCGCAACAGTCAGGTCCAGCCACCGCGGAGGGATCTCGAAGCACATCCCTGGCTTGGAGTCCAGGCTGACCACCAAGAAGGGTTCCACGATCTTCTCCTCCAGCCGCAGGCCCGGGAAGGAGGTCAGAGGGTCAGCAGGGTGGTTGGTGTCCTTGACCATCACCTTGACCTCACAGGGCAGTGAGAACTGGACAGTCAGATCCTGCAGGCTGTAGCGCCGGCCGTCGCTCAGCTCCTCCACGAAGCCGCCGGGAGTGTGGAGGGGCAGCATAATCTGTTCTTGGTGCTCGGCCTCCCCTTCGCACTCTTCTTCCCCTTCCTTCTCAGCCTCGTCACTCAGCCGCTGACACACCAAGACATCTGTGTCCCTGTCTTCAGCCCCCAGGGCCTGGTCTGACCACAATACCTCCAGCCTGTCGCCCATGGCTAGGGATGTGAACCCGGGGTTCTCCAACCCCTCGCCCTCATAGTCCTTTGTGGCCACCACCCGGAGGGACTGGCCGGGCTGGAGGGCACCCAGGAGGTCATAGGCCGTGGGGAACTCTCTGGGCCGCCGCCGCAGCTTGCCCTGGTAGGCCCCGGAGATCATAAAGTGTCTGGGCATCTTCCGGCCCTTGGTGGAGGCCAGGAGCCGCCAGGGTGGTGAGGCCACGCCATGGATGCAGAGCCTCTGGCCTTTCTTTAAGGAGCCTACCCACGGGCTGAGGAAGATCGGGGGCCCGTCCGGGACTTCCAGGATCTCTGTGAGCAGGGGAAAGGGGCCTCCCCGGGCCAGGACCTCGCTCAGCAGCATTGGTTGGATGAAGTGGATGTGTTGAGAGGAGGCGGTGACGTCCTCCACGTCCACCTCCAGGGTGGAGGGGATCTTGACAACGGACCTGCGCACTGTGGAGGGAAGAGGTCAGCTCGGGGGGCACCTCCCACCCCGTCAGAGGTCTGGCCAGCTGACTTCTTTCCTGTCCTCATCTTTTCTTTCCTAACAGCAGTATCCTGTGGTACCGGGTTCCCTGCCCACTCTTCCACCTCTTTCTTAAAAGTTACTACAGAAAGTTTTAAACATTTATAAAAGTAGGGAAACTAGTATAGTGAACCCCCATGTACCTGTCACTCAGGTTCAACATTTAACTCACGGCCTATCTTCTTTCATTTATATCTCGTATCTATTTCCCTCCACTGGATCATTTTGAATCAGAATAATCACATTATGCCATCTGTGACTATTTTGATGTGTATCACTAAAAAGAAGGGATAATTCAAAAATTAAAAATAATAGTAACCACTGGGCCGTGATCACATCAAAACACTAATAATTTTGAATGAATATCCAATCAGTTCAACTAAATTTTCTAAAAATTTTAATTGGATTTTGAATGTAATTTGATAAGCTGCTTTTCCAAATCCTTTCTGGATTGAAATAGATAAAATCAAGAAAAACACTGACTACATGACCTTGGACAACTTCTTGGAACATTGATTAGTTAGTTCCCAGGGCATAAAATCTGGAAGAGAATGAGGAACACTGGCCTCTCCACTGTGTGGACTGAGGCGCACCACGTGGAAGACAGAGCAAGGAATGTTCACCCCATTTTACAGATTAGAACACTGAGGCTCTGGGGCATGGTGGTGACTTTCCTCAGGTCACACTTTTGGGAATTTTGCTCTATGCCAAATGAGCTGATAACTGGTTAAAGCTGAGAGATGAGCACATGGAGGTTCACTATACTGGTCGGTTTTTTTCCTTCAAAATGCTTTCTAGATTACCTGAGCTGCTTCATTCCAGGGAAGCCAACTCCTTACTTAAAGAACTAGTGAGCAAAGCATAGGGTATTTCGTAGGACAGTCCTCAGAGCATGCAGAGTGGGGTTGGTGAGGCAGAGGCAGAACCTGGCCAGGTCTGGCCAGTCAGAGGCCCAGCCTGAGTGGAGGTAGAAGAATGGGAGCCTGGGGAACCTCTACAGCTCCAAACACAATGTTCTGTATTCCCTGTGCAAAGAGTAGACAGGAGGAGGTTTCAGTTTAATAAATGAAGAGGGAGTGATGGGATTAAAATACCACTATTGCAGTTTCTAAGGAAATCATGGATCTAGGCAGTGACCATTGACAACCACTCACATGACAAACACTGACTCATCTGTTGTGTTACTGGATCTGCACCACACGGCACGGCTGGTGCTGCAAGTCAAGTTGGTGGCAGACACAGAGCTGAATTCCTGGCCCCACACCTCACACGGCGATGAGAAACGGTGTGCCTCTTGCACACTTGGTCAGGCCACTAGAGCTAACTGCCTTTATAGGTGCAGAAGAGTGAATGTATCCAGCATGACACTGCCCTCCCTAGAAAGGCCCACCTGCAAGCTTGGTCCTTGGCTGGCATGTGGGAACATGGGTTTTAGGAGGATGCCCACCATTCCCTGACAGGAGTGGCTCACTGTGCCTGCAAACAAGGTGGCTTATGCCCCAAACCTGCTTTCCTTTGGGGAGGCTGGAATTTTGATATGTGCCAGCCAGAGGGTGTCCACGTGACCAGCACCTGGGAAAAACCTTGGGCACTGGGTCTCCAGTGAGCTTTCCTGGTGGACAGCATCTGACACATGTCACAAATCAGTGCTGGAGGAGTTAAGTGTGGCCTGTGTGTGTGACTCCACCAGGAGAGAATTCTTGGAAGCTGCACCTGGTTGCCTCCAGACTTCACCCCATGCGCCTTTTCCTCTGCTGACGGCGCTTTGTCTTTTTGCTGTAATAAATGACAGCTGTATGTACGACTGTCCACGGAGCCTGTGAGCCCTCCTGGCGAAATCATTGAACCCTGGGGGCGGTCTTGGGGTGACACAACAGAAAATGCAGGGGACAGAGGAACATGTTACCACCACCACAAGGATGCTGGTAACGAAATCCAAAACTTGAGAAAAACTAGAGCACAAATGGCCTAGCCCCTTCAACAGATAAACTACCAGAGGAATAAAGAAGGGGAAGCTGGAGATGAAAAGAGACCTTAGAGACCTAATTAATAGTCAACGACAACACTGTGGACCTTGTGTGGACCCTGATGTGAATAAAATGTAAAAAAATGAGACAACAGAGAGAATTCAAACACCAAGTGGGTATGACCTCTAAGTGGTGGTATTAGGAGTTATTGTTAACTTTTTGGTGTGATGATGGTATTGTGTGTCTGTTAAAAAAAAATAAGTCATTTTTAAAAGAAGCATATATTGGAACATTTACAAAAGAAATGATATGGTACCTGGGGTTGGCTTTGATGTAATCAGGTGGGATGGAGTGGGGAGAGGGGGAAGATGAAACACGGTCAGTTGTGAGTTGATAATTGTGATTTGGGGTGATGGGGTCGTGGGGTTTGCCATACTATTCTCAGCTTCTGTATATGTTAGACTTTTTCCATAATAAAGCAGTTTTAAAAGATTTTTTTTAAGGGCAAAGAATCCCCACTTGGCTCTGTAGTTTGTCAACAACCCAACCGTACTCTGCATAACTACCAGAGAGCTGAACTGAACCTCAAACCCTCTGCCCTCCAGGGAAGAGGTCCTAGGGCACCAGGTCTTCCGCCTCTGCTCCAGCTTGGCCTCTGAGCCACCAGCCCTGGCCAGGTTCTGCCTGTTTCACTGTTCCTCGCCATGCCGCCTCCAGCCTGTCCTAAGAAATAACCTACAAAGCAGCTGCGGGATTCAGCCAGACAGTGCCCTCCCACACAGGAGGGCCTTCACGAACAATCCTGCTCTCTCCACAGACAGGAAAATATGTGTCTCCTGAGCACATGGGCAAAGCTTCACTTTGTTACACTGCGTTTCTTTGTCTTAGCTGCTGTCAGGCTCACAACCCAACTTTTGCCTAATTTTATAAAGTACGTGGGAATTAACTCAGGTTATTCCCATTTTCACACCTAACTTCCACTGTTGGGGAATCCTGATTCTGTTACATTTTATATACCAGGTACTCCACCTGGAATTCTTGGACTGTCCATGGGGATGGGGTGTATCGTCCCATCACCAGCTCCTCAGGGACCCTCTGTCCCTCCCACTCCCGCCCCACCCACCTGCCCGGGGAACTCACTGTGCATGATGGCTTCGATCTTGTACTCGGGCCTCAGCCTCTGGGAGCACCAGGGGAGGGCAGGGCAGGTGAGGAGGCGGTCCCTCAGGGCCGGGTCCTGCAGGACCTGGAGCAGGGTCCGATGGGTGCCAGGCTCCAGTTCCCAGAAGGGCCCCTTCTGGGATAGGGGCAGATGCAATAGGACCTGCTGGGCCCCAGTGTCCAGCACACAGCGGGCACAGCAGGTCCCGAGGTCCATTTCCACAGCCACAAGCTTGAGGGGCTGCTTCTCAGGCACCACCCTGGCCTTGGTGGCAATTTTGTAGGTTGACATGAAGCAGATGGGCAGCTTCTTGGAGCTCTGGTTTGCAGCAGAGACCAGCTCCTCCAGGGTTCCATAGCTCTGGGGGCCAGTGAGGAGGCTGAAGTGGCCTGCAGGGCACAGCAGGGGTGTCAGGGTCGGGCAGGCCTTTGCTGGGCCCAAGGCCACATATCTCGGTCTGGCTGCCAAGAACCAGCCAGAACCCCTGGGGGCAGGTGCCAAGGGTGGGCCAGCGTCTGAATATCAGGGCTGCAGGGCTGAGGGACAGGAGGTGGCACTGACGATGTATGAATGGACAGTGAGGAGTGGGGACAGTTCCTTCTGACACAGACAGGCACAGACACAGAGGCTCTGTCACCAGAGACAGAACAAACAGGGATGCATCTCCCAACAGACACACTGACCACTGCCACATTTTTCTACTGCCAGATCCTATCTGCCTCTAACTTTGTCATCTTCGCCTCCAGATACCTCACCACTGCTCCAATCCTACACACCAGCACCTATCACCCCATCCTGGGTAAGTGAGCGCCATTGTCCCTCCCAAACTAGAAACCCAGGAGCTACTGACCCAATGACCTCTGACCACCCCCTTCACCCCCATCTGACTGCCAGATGGCTTGTCCCGTCCACCCCACCTCCTATCCATTCTTCTGCCACCAGACTGGCCTACAATACCCCACACCTAGACATAACATCACTTCCGGGGGGTTTCTGCCCAGAATACTCAACACAAATGAATCTATTCAAGGAAACACCACACAAACCTGGACTGAGGCACATTCTACCAAAGTACTGATCTGGACTCTTTGAAAATATCAGTCAAGACAAAGGAGGGATGAGGAACTGTTCCAGCCTGAAGGAGACTAAAGGAGGCCAACTGAATGCCATGTGCAAGCTGGGACTGGCTTCTGGATCAAGGCAAAAACCTGGCTATCAAGGACATTATTAGGGCAGCTGGTGAAGTTTGAATACAGACTATGGGTTAGATAGTAGGACTGTAACCATAGTAAACTTCCTGAATTTGATCATTGAACTACAGTTTTGTGAGCAAATGTTCTTGTTTTTTAGGAGATATACTAAATGTTAGGAGTAATATTTAAATGTAAAGGGGCATCATGCCTGCAATTTACTCTCAAATGGTTCAGGAAAAATGTATGTATATACATACATATATAGTAATATCTGTTCATATGTGTATATATATAAATATATGTATATAAAGAGAGAAAGCAAATGTTATAAAGTGATCAATAATTGGTGAAATGGGATAAAACGTGTACAAGAGTTCTAGGAAGTCTTCTGTAAATTTGAAATTATTTCAAAATTTAAAAAAATTCAAAATACAAAATAAAATACATCACTGCACTATTTAAAATCCTCTTTGGTGGGGGAGGGTATAGCCCAGTGGTAAAGTACATGCCAAGCATGCATGAGGTCCTGGGTTCAAGCCTCAGTACCTCCACTTAAAAATATACATAAATAAATAAACCTAATTACCTCCCCATCAAAAAACAAAACAAACAAACAAAAAATTTTAAAACCCTCTTTGGAGGGAGAGGGTATAGCTCAGTGGTAGAGTGTGTGCGTAGCATGCAGTACTGGGTTCAACCCCCAGTACCTCCATTACATACATAAATAAATACCCAGGGGGTAAAAAACATCTTTGGCTACTTAATGTCTTCAAAATAAAGACTGAAATATGTCTGTGCCCCACACAAGCCCCAGGTGCTGGCTTCCACGCCCCTCACCTGGAACCCATGCCCTTGTCCGTTCTTCCCTGCTGGCAGTCATGGTAAACCGAGAACAAGCCCTCAGAGGGCATCTGTTCTCTGCCTGGCCCTGTTCCAAGTGCTCATAGGTGGCAACTCATTTAACCCTCTTATCAACCCTGATTGTCCTGTTACAGAGGAGGAAATTGAGGCCCAGAGAGGTCATAGGAACTCGCCACAGCCACAGCTAGTAGCCTGCAGAGCTGGGATCCCCTCCAAGGTGTCAGCACCCAGGCCCATGGTCCACCACGCTACATGCCTCCTGCAATGACTGCGCTATGAGGGGTTTCTGGAGGCTGCTCCCTCCAGCTGGGAGCCTTTCTCCAGCTCAGGTGCCACCTCCTCCAGGAAGCTTGCACAGATCTCTAAGGCAGGCCACTCTGGCCCAGAGCCCTCTCTAAAACCTGTGCCTACTTCTACTGTTGTCCTCACTGCCATCCTGGAACCTGCACCTGGTTCATCCTGAGCCCCATACCCCCAGCCCCCAGCACAAGGCCTGGCACATAGTGAGTGGCAAGAAATATTTGGTGAGTGAATGTGTGAGCGAACACAGAAACATGCATGTGGACAGAGCCCTGGAACAAGGAACGCCCAGCCAAAAGGCAGATGAGATCAGACATGGATACTGAGAGGGTGTGGCCACACTAGCTCCAGGCATCGTCAGAGCACTGAGGACATCTGGGCCTTGGGGCTGGGTAGTGGGGGATGTGAGCGTTGTGTGTGCCAGCCCAGAGGGGTGGGAGTTTGTGCTGGGGTCAAGTGTGTCCAAGGGTGTGCCTGCCTGGAGGGTTCCAGGGCACTGAGGGAGACAGAGGTGCCCACCTTACCCTGGAAGTTGGGAGCAAGCACCATCGTCTGGCCTGTCTCCGGATTCTCGCAGACCACCTTCTGGAGGTGAACCTGGATGACCTTGATCAGGTCCCCTGTGGAGAGGCAGCACTCATTCCCAGAGATCTCGTAGATGGAGCCTACGGAGACACAGACTCAGTTTCCTGGTTCAGCTAGGGCAAAATGCTGGGCAGCCTGGACCCTATTCTCCAAAAGGCCCTGCTCTGCCACACCTTTGCACGTGCTGTTCCAGCTGCCTGGAATGCCCTTCCCTGTCTTCCCTGCCGAACGGCCACTGGCTCAGCTGTCCTCAGGCAGCAAAAACTCTGCCTTTGCTTTCTTTTAGTGCTGACTGTACCCCTCTGTGGT